GGAAACTGTATGGAAAGACTACTTAATGTCTGTAAATTACATCTGTGAATGTTGCTTCTTCAATTAAGCTCATACATGCTTTAGTATAAAGCATGTTCTTACTTAAACACAACGCATAGACACAAATTAGTTTTAAAACAAGCCCTGAACAAAAAATAAGGCACCTGAAATAAACTCTATTAAGTTCTGAAGCTTGATGTTTTGGATATAAAGGCTTTTTTTAACAGAAGACTGGTTGCATTGACAAGACACAGAAACTAAACTAAGAATGGGTGAAAGTTTGAATAAAGCTATTTTAGGCAACTGCCTTCTTTGTATGTTTCCAGTCCATAATATTTTGGTTCATCTGGTGTAATGTAAATATCCATCACTTTTTGAGAAAAGCACTGGGTGAACCAATTGGATCATCACAAATAGGGGAATGCCAGGGTGACTTCTGCTGTGCTGATAAGGTTCTGGGACAAATATAGCTTAGTGATTTTAAGGATGGCTGAGAGCTTGTGGGTCAGGATTGGAGGAGAGGCCAGTAAGGGTGATGTTGCAATAGGAGTTTGTTACTGACCATCTGATCAGGGAGTGATGTCTTCTCTAAACAACTTGAGGAATTCTCGGTATCATTAAACCCCCATTCTTGTGGGGGCCTTCAACTTCCTTGACATCTGCTGAAAGGACAGCACAACAGGATGCAGTCAAGAAGAGTTCTGGAGGGTGTCAGGGATAACTTCTTCATACTCTCTTCATAACTTTTTTGGCATGTAGGAATAGCCTTACGAAAGTCAGAGCTCACCTAGAAATGACATTTTCAAGAGATGTCAAGGATGAGGAAGAAGAGCTTCTGCCCTGCATTGGTAATAAAAGGCTGAACAAAGAAAATGTGGGATTGTTGATGAATGGGGTGGATGATTCAGTGACAGCAAATGTAGATGTTGTTGAGGTACTCAATGCCTTTGTTGCTTCAGTCCTTGCAAACAAGGTCTCCCAGTCTTCTGTGCTTAGTGAAAGGAAGAGACTAACCAGTAGTGGAAGAAGATCAATTTGGGGAACTCAACCCATAAAAGCCCATAGGACCATATGGACCAAGAGGTACTTCATGAAATTCAAGAGATACAAATCCAAAGTCTTTCCCTGGGAAGAAATTATCCCCTGCAACAATACAGACTGGGGCTGACTGACTAGCCGGGAAGCAACTTCGCTGAAAAGACCCTGGGGGTCTTGGGAGACAGCAAACTGAGTATGAGCCAGCAACATGCCTGGCAGCAAGGAAAGCCAACAGCTTCCTCGGCTGTATGAACAGGACCACGGGCAGTGGGATTGAGGGAGGTGATTATCGCCTGCACTCAGCACTCCTTAGACCACATCTAGCTACTGTTTTGGGCCCCCGATGTAAGAAAGACATTGATAACCTGGAGTAAGTTTAGTGGAGGGCCACCAAGATGGTTGGGGTTGAAACTCTCCATATATGAGGAGAGGCTGACACCAGGGCTTGTTTAGCCTGGAGAATAGATGGTCTTGGGGAGACCTAACAGCAGCCCATCATTACCTGTGAGGAGGTTATCAAGGAGATGGAGCCAGACTCTTGACACTGATACATTGTGGGAACATGAAAGGTGATAGGCATAAGTTGAAACAAGAGATGTTCAGACAGGAAAAGGCTGTAAGGAAAAGCTTTTTCTTCATGAGGACAACCAAGCAGTGGAACAGGTTGCTCACAGAGCCTGTGAAGTTTCTGTTCTCTGAGGTTTTCGAGTTGCAACTGGACAGAGCCCTGAGCAAGCTGGTCTGATCCCATAGCTGGTCCTGCTTTGAACAGGAGGTTGCATGAGAGACTGCCTGAGGTACATTCCCACCTTAGTGATTCTATCACTTTTCCCTTGGTTTAAGGGGAAAAAAGGTTTCATTTATGGTATTTATTTTTTTCCACTCAAATTGTTTGGATGACAGTGCAAAACAGTCTATTCTGGTAGTCTTCCAAGAGATGAATCTTGGATGACATCAAGATCTTCACATAATACATCCTTAAAAGTGCTGCATTGTTAATTTTCTTTAACTTATGATAAGTTGCCTTTATATTTCAAGCTGTTATTAATAAAAATGTATGCATCCAATGGGAGATCATTAGAGCAGTAAACTGGCAAAGGTTCTTTAGCTTAGTATTTATTTTTAATGTAGACTACATTAAGTGCAATATATTTATTGAGGGACATAAAGGGCTTGTGTAGTAGTCTTATTTTCAGAATGTTTATGTCCACTGTTTTAAGTTAAAACAGTGTTCATCCTGCATGTTTGTTAACTGTGCTAAGAAATTACCTCATAAAGTTTGTTTTTAATGGACATAGTCAAAAAAGAGGTAAGAATGGGCTACCATAAAATAACAAGGGGAAAAAAAACAACCCTAGCTTTGGAATATTCTTATAAGGTACACTGTGTAACACATTTTAAACCAGAATTGACAAAATGTTTGTGAAAGTGAACAGTAGGGAATGTTTCTCTGCTCAAGGTATCTGTCAAACACAGATGTGGGTGCACATATATTTTATAACAGCCTTCTATTCATTAACAACATTTGTATATTTACAATTTGTTTTATAGAACTGTTCAGTGTTTGCCAGAGTTTTCTGCTGGACTGGAATTACTGAGCAGGTATGACCTTTGATTTCTTTGTTAGTGTCTGCTTCCTATAATTTCAGAAATAACTTTATTAGGCTAAGAAAAAGAGAAGAAAATGAAGGTGTTACTAATAGGGTTATTTGGATGTTCTGCAGTGAGTAGAGTGGGGGTGGTTACCAAATGATAAATATGTTTAAAGCTTGCCCAATGCTTAAGTGCTGTCATGTTAATGAAACAGAAGTTCTGAAGGAAAAGCAACATTTGAAAGATGACTTTAGTTCAGGGTCTATTGCACAGGGATGAAGGAGACCAGCACTGAGGCCCAACCTGTGGTTTTAATTTGACATTTTATAACTTTTACATATTTGATATGGTTTCATTCAGTTATAATAGAGACAGTATGCCTGTCATTGCCATGAAAAGAAAGTGTATTCCCTGTGTATTTAATGACATTTTTTCTGAGTAACAGAAACTATCTGCATTATAAATTTCCTTTGTATTTTTATCTTTTTTTTAAAAAAAACAAACCTATCCTCTTTTTTGGGGGGTGGGGTGTGATTACAATCTTGTTATTTTTTTTCGTTTTCTTAATGAAATTGGGTTCCAAGTAGTGCTTAAGGCTTTTATGTGTAGTCTTATAAATATTGCTGGGTCCGTTTAGCTCTTAATGTAAGCTAGCAGTTTAAAAAACATTAATCACTTTTTCTTTGAACGAAATTATTTCTTAGTGTATATTTCTTTCTGGTATTTACTGTTCTACCAAGACAACTTCACAGCTTTTTAAACTGTTATTTCTGGTAGTCCCTGTAAATATAAGCACAGTGGCATCCATTAAATCCTCTTCTTTTGTAAGGGGAACACAGTAGAATAGTAATTTATCTGTCTTCTCTTCAGGTATGAAGATGCTTGGGCTGCCCTTCACAAAGGAGCCAAAGATTGTGCAAAAGCTGGAGAGGTAAGAAAAGATAACAATGCCACACTTGAAATATTTTAGAATGTGTAAATACTTTTAAAATAAAATTTTTAGTACTAGTGTACTGGGTTGACCCTGGCCACTAGGTAAGCACTGACACAGCCTTGTTCAGTGCCCCACAGGTGGGACATAAGAGAGAACAGGAAGAACAAAAATGAGAAAACTCACGGTTCAAGATAAAAACAGTTTAATAATTGAAGGACAGAGGAAAAACAAGTGGTGCAAAAGCAGTCACTCACAACCTCCCACAAGCAGACCAATGCCCAGCCAGTCTCAGACCAATGGTTACCATGGAAGACCAAACCCTTAGTTTTTATTGTTGAACATGATGTTATTTGGTATGAAATATCCCTTTGGCCAATGGTCAGCTGTTCTGGCTGTGTCGCCTCCCAGCTTCTTGCCCACTACCAGCCTACTCACTGCAGGGGGATTAGGGAAGAGAGAAAGCTTTGACACTGTTCCAAGTGTTGTTCAGCAATATCTAAAACATTGATGTGTTATCAACACAATGTTTTGGTCAGAAATCCCAAGACACAGCACCATATGGGCTGCTGTGAAGAAAGTTAACTCTATCCCAGCTTGATCCAGTACAACCAGTATAATGAAAAAATAATGCTCCATATTGCTACTTAGGAAAAATACCAAGCTGCATTGTTTTTTACTGTGGTTTTAAGATAGTGTTTAACAGGCAGCTGATGGAATGGATCAGAATATTCAGTTCCTCTTGTTTCTCACAGCTCTTCCAGATTTGATGGTGCTCAGCCTACAATTAATATTCTTGAAGTATTAAATATAAATATTGTAAAAATATAAATTCTCTGTGATCGTGTTTCTTACAAGGTAACATCTAAGAAGAATTATCTGAAGTTCATTCTCCTGTTTACTTCCTGATATTTCAATGGTAGTATTAGGTTAACGGTTGGACTTGATGATCTTAAAGGTCTTTTCCAACCTAAATGATTCTATGATTCTGTAATTACTATAACAAACATCAAGTGTGAGAATTTCCTAATGCTTTTAAAGTGCTTTTCAACTGATAACATTGACACCCAGAATTTCTTGTCTTCTGTCGTTTGTTCAGAGAGTTGCAATCACTACTTGCACTTAAGCAAAAAATAGTAATTATATCAGCTTACTGTTTTCCTGTGGGATATGTTAGGTTAGAGAAGGATATAGAGAAGTACGACTTTGTCAGTGTGTGACAAAAAGGTGATGGTAAAAATAAGGCATATCCAGAAGTTCAGGTGGTTAGTTTTTGCACTCTTCTGCCGTTTTCTGAAAGATTTTAAGTTAACCGGGAATATTGTTTTGAGACTGCTTAAGACAACTTAATGTGGCCTATAAATGGCAATGTAAACAGTAAATAATAATGTAAACAATAATGTACCATGAACATTATTTAATGTGATGTAATGTAAACAATTGCAGAAATGATATTGCGTGTTACTGCTCTAGCTTTTTAAAAGCACTGGGGGGGCTGGGAAAGTGTAGAATATATTTGGGGTTAAGGTGTGTTGGTGGTTAGTATCAGGGTAGGGCTGTTGCCTGACACTGTTTGCTGCCCTCTCCTAGTGGACAGGAAATGGCAAGATTTGACTTGTCTGGCTGAAAAGATTGAGGAAGTGTCTGTGCTTTCTCCTAATTTTGTTCAGTTTTCCTGTCCTGGAAGTAAAGTGGCAAGTTGTGTGGTTTATTTCTGGAATGAAGGGAAAGAAAACTTCCAGTAAGTGCTACCAATGCATTGCTCTGCTGTTTTGGAGGTCCACACCAGTCTTTCCATTTCAAACTCTGTTTAAGGGGCAGACAGTGTAAGCTGGGTGGCCACGATGCAGAGCAGGATTGAGCTGTGGGGTTCTCTGTCCTGGCTGAAACCTTCATTTTGGCCGGCTGCATCTTCCCTGACTCTTCTGGTTTCCTTAGGAGTCTTCTCTGTATCTTTTTCTAATGGATAAAAAACTCACTGCTTAATGTATTTTGAAGAGGTGTGTTTAGGGTAAGAAAGATACTATCTTATGTTCTTCTTTCTCTTGCCTAATAGTATGGCCCACCTTTTCCACATGTTCCAGTGAAAACCTTCAGTTATTAGAGATGAAGTTCTCTCTGCCAGCTTTGTGTGTTTTACTGCTAATGGTGATTTTTAATAGAAGATCTCTTAAATTACTTGCTTACAATTTTGTAATACTTGCAATAGTTTGCTTTCAAAATTGCAGTTCTGAAAACAATGTGAGGTTTCATATATATAAAAACCAGTGTAACTTTAATCTCACATGTTATGGCTGCTTGGGAAAATTAGAATGAAAAGCTTCCAAAAAGACTTTGAACTTTTCCATGAAATTCAGATGTTTACTTTTGGGAGAATCCAAAATATGTATTGCTTGTGGGTTTTTTGTTTGTTTCTTTTTTATAAAAGGAGAAAATACAGCGTTTGATAAAATAAGAATTGTTTAAGCACACAAGATTGACTGTACTGTATCAGACATAAAGTTCCACTTGTCCGATATCCTATTTCTGGTACTGGCCAGTAGCAGATAAATAAGACAGCAAGACTACTTTATAAATGTTGAATAGAAAAAGGAACATGAAAATTTCAAGCTTTAATTGCTGCCTACAGTCTTGCCATGTTAAATTATAGATGCTAACTACCACTTCCATCTACAAAATTGTCCTAAAAATATTGCTTTTAGATGATTGTAATTTTAGCTGTATTTAATTCTCTCTGGGCTGAAGTGTTTTTCTGGTGTTTGCCCCCATCTCATGATAGGGTTATGTGTGGGTGGGGTTTTTTTTGTTTGTTTGGGTTTTTTTCTTCACTGTTTAATGGATATAAATCCCATATCTCATTCTCAAAAGTAGATTTGGCTTTATTTAAATAAGGATGTTGGTCTTCTGAAATGTTTCAGTACTCACTGGGCTTTGGAATAAGTATTCAAACCTTATCTGGTAAAACAGGATGGCTTTTTGACAGGGATAGTTAGTTGGAGGAATTTGGCAATGGGAGAAGTTGCCATTCTTCTAAAAGAATTTGTCTGAAGTGGGTAGAATTGTAAACCTTTGAGAACTTCCTTTGATCGTTGCTGAGAACTTTTCAGTTTCTGCAACTAAATTCTACAAAAAATGAAGAATTAGGGATGCAGATACAGCCATGGGCTGCAGTTGTGTGCCAAAGGAAGAATGGGTAATGGAACTAAGAGCAGGGAAACTATGATTGAATCATCTCAAGTATCATATATAAGGAAAACATTTGTTACCTAAGATCTCTTGATCTTGCTGTTTTTCATAGAATCTGACTTATATAAATAAAACTTTTAAGCAGTTATCCTCTTCTCATTATACTATTGTATAATAGAAGTTAGGAAGAATCAAACAACAAAAATTGACCTGATATAGAAGTGTGTTCATAAAGACTTGCAACTACTGCAGTTAAGTTTATCACAAGAGCAGCAGAGCAGGACTGTTATAAAGGCAAATTTTAAAAATGTCATTCCTTTTATTTAATTTTCTAGAGTATTTTGAATGTGCAGAATTTTCAGTTTTGTTGTTAAGATTAAATCGGTATGACTAGCGACATTAAACTAAGTTATTGATCTAAATAAGTCTTACATTGCACCACTGCAATGTTGTTATTGTGTAGCAGTACAATGCTGCAGTCAAAATTCCAGATGCATGTTATTTACAGCTAATAAAATGTATAAAATATTTCCTGCATTGATGAGTATATTGAGAAATAACTTTTTATCTTATTTTGATCAATGCATTGGGATACAAATATTTCATACTACAGGGGCTTGCTTAAGCATGTTGTATATTTACTTGAGAAGTACACAGGTGGCAGTGCTATAGGGCTGCTGTGCTGACCTTATGCTTGCAGATGCGTGAATTCTAAAATTAGTCAAGATGCTCACAAATAGATACATAAATTTGCAAGTAAAGTAAAGAACCTGTTTGTTTCAGCTGGTGGATAGTGAAGTTGTGATGCTTTCTGCACATTGGGAGAAGAAAAGGAACAGTCTGGTGGAACTACAGGATCAGCTGCAACAAATACCTGGGTTTTTAGCAGATCTGGAATGCCTCACAGCAAGCTTAGGTAAGGTTTTAGAGACATAACAAGCATTCAAGTCAGTACAGAGGATTAGACTGAAGTTCAGCTGTTGTGAACTTTGCAATTATAAAATTTAATTTTGCTTCCCAAACACATCCTTTCTATTATAAAAGTAGTTCTTAAGCAAACTGGTTTTGTAAAAGAGCAAAATTAGTAGCGGTTGCTCTCCCAGCAGCTAAAATATTGTATGTGTCATTATTTGGGAAAAAAAATTGTGTGACCCCTGCATATCTTGGTGTGAACAGTTGAAAACTATTATTCTTGAAGTCTTTTTAAATTCGTAAGGATTTGTAAGTAGTGTGGTAGTGTGAACACTCATATGTAGTTGCTTCTCTTTGATTGAGTCTATATCATTTTATATAAAAATTTGTTTTAAATCATCACTTGGTTTGGGGAGGGCAAGATATTTACCTGGCTTGGGGCACTTTCAAGGCAGAAACTTTTTGTTGAGAGTTGGTTGGTTCCAAAGCTGGTTACCATAGTTTAAGTTAGCATACAAGGTTAAGTTATTCTGAAGTGATACCCAGCTGGGTGAAACTAGCAATGCTACATATTAAGGTTACCAAATACCTCATGTTTGTTAGATGGGTTCCAGTTTTTATAACTTTACCAAATGTTAACCTGTTGGTTTAATTTAAAAGATGAAAAGATGAATTCTTTAGTGGACTACTTCTGGAAACCTCTCGTACAAAATAGTTGATCCACTGTTGAAAATGAAATTAGGAAGAAATGATCTGGCCTCTTAGTCTCTGAAAAACTCTAGTGTTACTGAGCCTTGAAACAGGGACGCAGTGTTTGACAAGTAGCAAGCCTTTCTGTCAACAGTAGGCCTCTTGCTGCCTCCATGAAAATCTGCTCAAGTTGGATCAAATTAAAGTTTTGAAAAACTGCTGTCTGTGCTTGGATTTTAGGAGCTAAGTTTCCCAGGAACTCTGCCGGCACTATTCTTATACCAGCTGGGAAGTATGCAGAAATTCTTCATGTAATTGCAGCTCTTGTTTTTTGTGGGGTGGGCTGGATTTGTGTGCTGGCATCTGATGTGAAAGGAAGGAGGGTTCTTTTCTGTGTTCAAAGGCTAATTTCTCATTCTTCTACGGTCAGTGGATATGCACAAATCGGCTTTTGTTCCTAGGTAGGCTGGTAATAACTTTGCTATTTCTTTCTGAACCAAAGAATATATTTCATTTTTTATTACGTTTTTCTTATACCACTTTATTTAGTAAGTCTTTATCATGTGTGGTAACCATTTAATGTTGGCTTTTTGAAAAGCTCAATTATTTTCTAAGGAAATACCAATTCAGATGATGATTTATGTAAATACTGATTTTCATATCATCATGCACAAAAGGATGCAGTCCACTGGTAGACTGAAGATAAACAAAATAATAAAAACCTAATGGAATTGTCTTTATAATTCATAACTGCAAATGCTATAAATCCTGATGAGTTTGGGTTACCTTCCCATTCCTAACCTTATAGTTTTATGAACCAGAATTAATCTCACCCTGATTGTAGAATTACTTGGAGAAGGCTCAGTGGCTCTGGAATATTTTTGGTACTGCACAAGTGGGATTTAAGGAAGCATTAACCAGTCTGCTTGCAGAAGCTAATTAATTTTGAAGTCTACTGCTAAGGTTGTGAGATTTGAACCAAATCTTCTAGTCTCACCTTGTGTCAGATTTCAAGTAATTTCCCTAGAGGCTTTTATTAGTTCCTCCTAATCATTGTGAGTTTTTTGGAATTGTTTTTTTCTGATAAGTTTTATAGAGTCTATTTGAAGAGAAAGGTGTATGTGTATATATACACATATACACACACACCCCAAATTCAGCATCTACACTTTTCAAAGTGATTTACCAGAAATTTGCTGTGATATTCTGCTCACTCTTTTTAGTTTTTATAACTCTGAACTATCTGCTTTTTATAGATGTGAACTGTATTTGCCTTTCCAAGAAATGACTAATACTGTGGCCATCAATTTTAAACATGAATGAAACATTCTGTAAAAAAATACGTGAATATAGAATTCTAAACTGCTGTGTCCTGGGTTGTGCATCCAAGATGTAATTTGGCTAATCATCATTTCAGAAAAGTAATAGTTCTGTATTGTGACCTGATACACTTCTAATAAATCTATTAATGCTTTCATTTTGAAAGTAGATAGGAAACCCTGCCTACTTTTGATAAAAGAGATTTCAGACAATGGAAATGAGCCATTTCCGTGACCTACTTAAAATTGGTATGAGTCGCGTATGGATTCTTCAGCTTTTTCTGTGTATTAGAAGACACATTTTCATTAGCACTTTTATAAAGTCCTTTAACTTAGGTACTCACATTATCAGTCATCCCTCACTTCAAGTAAAAAGCCTGTGTCTTCATTTGATAAATTTACTGCATTATGCAACGTCTTGTAGCTACTGTTGAAAACTTTGAAGAAAAAAGGACAGTTATTGCCCTTTCAAAGTCCAGAATTTGAATAATCACTTAAGCCAATTTTTATTTGAGATGTTGTAGGAAATACTGCTTGCCGGTATCTGACATACTTAATATGAAATACGCTTCATGTTTGAGCAGGGGCATTTTGCTCAAATATCAGTTTTGATTCCAGCAAATCAAGCCACACAAACCTTGATCCAAATCCAATCCCCCCCTCTTTTTTAAAAAAAAAAAAATCAAATGGTATTGGTTTCAGACAGGCTGGTCATGAACATAGGTGACAGATCCAATGTAGGGTGAAAATATTTAGATTGGTGAGACTGGAAGGAAAATAAGTCTGGGATTCACAGAGATAAAAGCCATTGCTTCCTACCTTTTAATAAGTATTTTTTTCTGAAGTATGGGTTAGATGGATGTGAAAATTCATTAGGGAAACAGAAACTTTTCTCACAGCTTAGGGGAGGTAATCCCTGTTTATATCTTGAGCACAAGGTCATGCTTTATTTTCAGATTGTGTATCAAGTATGAAAGTTGCCATTGTCTAGCTTTGCGAAATTCAATCCAATTTGTTCAGAATTTGCATTAAAAAAATAATGGCCACATTCCCTTTGTTTACGAAGTGGGATTCAAGACTTCTTAATGGCTTCTTTGGATATTAAGGAAATGTACTAAAACTTGTGAAATATAAGGTCACAGTGATTATAATATCTTTTTCATTAAATACCAGATTTTCATTTTGGTAACATTTGAACTGCTTTAAGAAATTAATACCCCATATTTTGGGTACTTGTTTTGCAGCAAAAAAGTGTGTTTTAATGAAACATACTTTTTTTTTTTAATTTCTTGATAAAAATGCCGAAGATTTTTTCCAGTTTGAATAATGCAGTATACTTCCAGCAACATCTTGTATTCTGAGATTATAGAAATTAACTTTTGTTCATTTCATCAGTTTGTAGATAGCCTCTGAAGCAGTACTTTTAGGAGGAAAAAGTGTAGTGAGTGATAGCCCGTAGACTTCTCTCTTTGGGGAAGACATGAGTGTCTTTGGGGAAGAGAAGTCATTAGTTTACTATTATCTATTTATTAATTGTCACTTATGTCAGGATTTAGATATTAGCAGGTATTGGTCAAGTAGAAGTGAATTTAAGACCAGACAATATATTAATCAAGATTTTTCACAGAGTTGTCATTTAAACTGGACTTCTGAATGGTGTTTGTTTACTTAAATAACAGTTTCTTTTTCATTAGCATCTAGCAGTTGGATAAATGTTTTGTGATGCAGAAATCTAGAACAAACATTCCATTAGAAGACTAGTTTTTAGTGGTTTCTTTTTGATTTTAAAATTATTTTTCAAGTTAGGAGCTGTAAAAACTTGTACTGTAAATGAATAGTGATTTGTGGTTGGGAAAATGTTTAAAGAAAATAGTATTTTATTATTAATTAAAACAATTTTTCTAACCAGTTGACAATTGTTTAAAAACTGCTATTACTTTTCTTGCTTTTGTGAGTTTCATTGTCCGAGATGAAACGGCATTTATCTTTTATGGAGAAAATCAGGGAAAATACTGCGGAGATGTATGTAAAACCAGGGAATTTGAATAATATGGTGTAATGATAACCTATGTTCAACAGGGAGTTTTTCATAGGCTACAGGGCACAATGCTTCAGCAGAGAGGGTTGTTGTATAAGGTGAAGATAATATATGTATAAAAGGCATATAGTTTGCTGTTGTAAACTTGGAAATGCCTGTGGCTTGAATACAGAAGGAAAAAATATCCTAGTATACTTGCTATGTAGTTTCAGCAAAGAAGCTGTTTTAGTTTCATGTAAATGGTGTGATACTAGTTGGGTTTAAGATCTTTTCTTCAAAAACAAATCAAAATTGAGGGCTAGTAGAACTGTAATTATGTAAAGAATTTTTTTCTTCCTATATATATATATGTCTTTCACTGCTCATTTTAAGCTTCTAGTAATCTGTGTCCCTGTCTGACCTAGAGGTAGAGATAATTTCTTTGATGTAATTGTTTCCATCCTTTCTGTTTTCTGCCTTTTTGCCTTTCAGTCAGAAAATGAATGAACTTTGTAAAAATGTCTTTAACACTCCTTGATGGTTTCCGTTGTCTTGGTGGCTGGGACAGTGCAGGAGAGCTACACTTAAGGTTACTGTAGGAATAATTGAAAACTGTAATATTTCCTGATATACAGCTGTGATTTAGCTTTTCTAACAGTTTTTGTACTACTGCAGAACTACAGGTAACATAGGTTTAAGTTAAAAAAAATGTATATGGTAAATTTAAATTAGCTAAACTTTAGAAAGAAAGCATTTTCAGATACAAAATTGTTTTTTGTTGCTGTTGAGGTCTAGATAAATACTTTAATACCCGAGTAGCTGGTAAACTAAGAAAAGCAGCATACGCCGATAGAAGATCATTCAATCTAATGTCATCTGATCAAACTTTAACATACTTCAAAAACATTAAAACTAAGAATTAAAACTTGTAATAGTGTTGTTATACCTGTGATAGTGTAAGAAATACAGGCCAAACTAACATAATTGGAATGATGTGACCTAAAGAACAAGTTATTTTTTCAGCTATCTAATAAAAAACATTATTTCTACCAAGTGTGGCATATTACTATACAGGAAAATTCTTAATCTAAAGGTACAATGGATTTTTTTTCCAGCCTCCTTAAAAAGATGAAAAGGAGAGGGTATTTTTGTCCTTTATAGCAGTGCTGTTTCAGAGAGAGATGGTGATTGTTGCCTGACCACTTGGTTGTGGGATTTCTTGAAGAGCTGGAAAAGAAGTAGTAGTTGTGCAGGTATTCTTTAGACATTAGCTGGCTTTCTGGGGCAGATTCATTCTAGGTGCCACTTTGAACCATAAACTGGAAATTAAGAATTTCTAGATTTTGTATTTTTGCTACATAACTTTTTAAAAGTATGAGCTTATTTATCTGTGAATATAGATGAGAGCTGATAAAAGCATTATGGCTAAGGTTTCAAATTGATTAAGTATGTAGCTTTGTTTAGAACTTCTTCTGATGCGCATGCATACGTTCTTATTTGGGTAGGAGAGACGTTAATTCACAACCGTAGTTGGTGCTATGTCTTTGTGATGGAGCTAGTCTTCAACTTTTTTTATGAAAAGCAATGAAGTTTTCTTTCACTTCAGAAAGAAAAATTCTGAAACCTATGTTGCAGTAAAGCAGGGTTATTGTCTTCTGGAGAGACACTTAGTGTTCATTCCTCTTCTTCAGGAGCCCAGTGTTTTATGCAGTTCCCACTAGAGGCTGCTCAAATGCTAGTGCTAGGAATCAGTTGCCCTCTAGAATTCCCTTTTCTTCATCCTCTTTATTTTCCTGTTCTTTGTTGTTGTCTTTTTAATATTATTTCGATAGGAAGTACAGCAAAGCAGGTGCTGGTTTTTTTAAGTGCAAAAACCAGTGGTTGGTGGGTACCTTACTGAATTTTCTTGAGCCCTGCTGTGTTTGTGAATTTTGCAAATTAATAAGTGAGCAATCATTCTGAAAAGCAAGTTAGCATAATACAGGCATTTGATTTTAATGCACTCAGAAAAGTCCATTTCTTAAACAAAAAGGGACCACCAGTCATAATTCTAGTCATGATATTGCCCTTTGAATACCTCTGGATTTTATGAGAGGAAGTTGAATATGTGGTAAACAAGGCATGTTCCACATCACAATCTTTAGAACTGAAAACATTTTTTTTTTTCCCTCAAACTTGTTTCCACATTGTCAACTGCCTTCCCTGCCCCACCCACCCCGCAATGATCTGTAGACAGATAAATAATTTAAGGAAATCATTGCTGATTATATGATTTACGTTTCCCTTTCTGACTGTTGTGGAGCAGTACCTTATTTGTTAGGGAGTAAAAAATCTTATGAAGTAATTGGAGCTAAACATATGAACATGCATGCTATTAAATTTGTTTGCAAGGTCTTAACTTTTGCTGTTCTAGGGCGACCACTAGGATAGCAATTTCTAATTGAGTAATGGCTAAGAAAGCTGAAATTTTGTGTGTGTGTGTATATATATATATAGCTCCAAGCAGAACGGCCAAATCAGAATTGAAGGTTTGACTGGTGTCTTCAGCTTGCTGTTTCCTTCTTTTGAGCATCCGAAACACAGTAAATTCAAATCACATTTTTCTACCTTGAACTTAATAGTTATTGTCTTGCTTTATGAAGATTGTTTCTGTCCATTACAGGCAAAGGTAAAACACAGCCATTTGCCAAAACTCAAGAGTTGCTTTAGGTTTTCTGTTATTTCATTCCATTGTCTGTGTAGTTTTCATCAACGAGCACGTTCATACACTGCAACAAATTAGTGTATCTGTCTCTGAACTGCAAATTCCCTTCTAGTCTTTGGTTGGTATTTTGTTTGTAAAAATGTGATTTATCCTTCCTCCGGCGATTTACCTTCCCTTTGGCATAGGAGAAGTCCTGGCAAAAGGGTGAATAATAGTTCTGTATTCACACAGCTCTATCCCAGAGTGACTAGGTGGTTAGAGTTTGGGAAAATAGTTTTTCCACTTTGGGATCCTGAGGAGGGACATGGATTTCAGCATTAATCACCTGCAGGAAGAGTGATCCTTTGATACAAAATTCACATGGGATAATTCAGGTCAGAAGGGACCTCAGGAGTTCTGTAGTCCAAATTTCTGCTCAAAACAGAGTGAGCGATGAGATAAGATCAGGTTTCTCAGGGCTTTTCACAGGCATGATCTCTTTTAACTTGAGACTCTGAACAATTATGATTAAAGAGGAAATTAGGAGGTTTTGCATGTTTTTAAGTGCATGAGTATATAAAATAGCTAATGGTATATTTTTATGTATGAGAAGTCAATTTGACAAATTAACATGTAGAGCTTAAAAGGGTTATGTAACAAATTTGCCTATTGGTAAAGGGTCTGTCTTCAGAGTAAACTTTCAAAGTCTGTATTCTTTTATGTTGTCATGAGGTCATGTAAAAGTTAAAATTCTCCTGGTATGCTTTACTTTTGCTTCATTTGAATAATTTAAGATTAGTACTGGTTTTGGTCAGCACAGCTTTATTCCTCAGATGGGTACCAGGTAGGATGGGGTAAACTGACAGCGTGCCCAAGAAACAAAATTAAATTATGGGTTCTGGGTGTGTCTTTTCCTGAAGTATAGATCACAAGCCTGTGAGACCAGGATGCTGGGGCAAATACAGTGGTTTAGCATCTTACTGAAAGGAACTTCAGATACATCTCCCTTAACGTGGCTCTGCTGTCACTCTTTACTATGTGATATGGACTGAAATTTGTTTATCTTTCTGAGCCATTTATATATGTGTAATTATTGCCATGTTAATTATGTACCTTTATGAATTCCTGTTTCTGTTCAGGTGAGTTGTCCATCTATTGATACAATTTGGTATTCATATAAGTATTTCTTATAGCTCAGCTAGAGGCAAACTTTGAGGAAATGGAGAATCATCTATTGTGTCTTGAGGACCTATGTGAACAGTGTGAGTTGGAAAGATACAAATGTATGCAGACGTTACAGCTGGAAAACTACAAGAAAACAAAAAGGTAAATAAGAAAATTGCTATAAATATAAATTAGCGTAAAATATAAATGTTTTGTGATTATTTCTTTTTCTGGTAGATAATATAATCTCTTTACTTTCATCTTTTAGAGAAACAGTAATCTTTGACAGGAAGTTGCAAATTTGTAATAGATTCACTGAATGTCAGTCTAACTCTTGGTGATGAACAAAGAGTGTGTGTGGAAAATTATCACTACATTGTTGTTAAGATGAAGTTGTGCTTATTATTCTCTACAAACAATTGGAGTAGGGACTATTGTTAATAAACACTGATTAATTGTTGTTTCTTTTAATCCCTTGCCCTGTTTTTTAATTTCTTTTTTTCCATGTATTGTACCTTTAAATTTAGGAACTGTGTTTTCCTCTTTCTTCCTTTCAGTTCTGTCCTGTCCTGTCCTGTACTTTGAGTACTTTTCGCTCTGTCTGAAAGGTATTAATCTCTTGCTGTTCTCTTACTTGCAAAACCAGGGCATTACTACTTGGGATCAAAGTTCAACTTGTAGCAGTATGTGTGAAAAGTCAGAACCTTCAACTCTTGAGCTTCATGTTTACCTGAAAGATAAGGTAGCAAGAGATAAATGTTAAGAGCTTAAGTAACTTAAACTGTTGACTTTCTTGGTTTTGTTATTGACAGTGCCAGAAAATAACCTTACTGAAGGAGATAAGCAGTATTAAGTCCATTATATAAATGAGGAAACAAGGAGTTAAATTGAAGCAATTTGTCAAAGACAGTCTCTGACAAACCTGTGCTAGGGAGTGGTGGGTAGATGTGGATGCTGACAGACCTGGAGCCAACACTGACATGGGGGTAACCAGTTGACTTCATCTGTCCAACCAGGTGTCCCCCTGATAGTGAGGTGAAGCACGCTGGCACCCTCCCCACTTCTCTTGATTGTGGAAGCAATACACTCATGTGGTATGGGCAGAACAGCTGGTTTGGTTTACGGTCCTAAATAGGATGTGATGGTCAGGGGCAGGGCTCCACCAGACGGTGTTGGTCACATTTTGTGTAGCTTATCTGCTTTCCTCTTTCTTGACCCCCCTTTTGCCATCCTTGTACCTCTTTTTCTTATTTTTTCTTTTTCTTTTTTTTAATCCCAGTATCCTCCCAAATAAACAATCCACTGCTAATTACTTTTTCCCTATTGGTCCTGGTTTTACTACTCAAATTTGGTCTTTCTGATACCATTATCTAGGGAATCTTGTCCTTCTGTGGTGTTACAGGTATGGTTACCGAAGTACTGCTGGCATTGCAAGTTCTGTCTCCCAGAAGGTCCCTGATACCTTAAAGGTCCCCCTTCAGTTTTCTGTGAAGTTTGGCTGTTTCTAACTTAACTCCCCTTTAACCATCTGTGAAATCCAACCATCCCTCATGGTGCTATCTGTAGCTTTTGTCAGCTTCTTACTATGTTATCTGTCACATCCAGCAATTTCTCATGTCAGGTCCTTTAGTTTTTCACATCTTGTTCAGTTAGCTTAACCTCAGGCCAGGGCCTCGGCAGTGGTCTTGTCACTTTCCTGCAACCTGGATTTTCTCTTTCCCAGGCCAGGGCAACATGATTTTCTCTCTCTCCAGGAAGAGTCAACAGTAGTCAGTATGGCTGAATATTCACTTGCTTGGACCTATTTAAGTAATTAAATATTTAATAGTAATAATTTCAAAATTCTGAATAAGTACTATTTAACCAAATAACATGCATTTAAAATGTGCATAAAGCAACAGATTTGTACTCCCTAAAATATAGTAATCTTTCTGAAGTTTTCTGAGTTTTGTTTGTTCTCTCTGCCAGCCTCGCTCACTCTCCCCCTCCCCTAGCCTTTGCTTTCAACATCAAAATAAAGTGTTAAACTGTTGCCTACTCTGCTTAGCAGCATCTAATCAGTTCTGTAAATAGAATGCTAAGCAAACTACTTAATGTAATTATAAGCTGATTACATTTGGTCAGATCTAGACAAAACAGGAAAAATGCAGCTAATTTCTGGTTGATCATTACCACTGTATTTATTTAGGTAAGAAATTAACTGCTAGCTCATTACTAGAAGGACACTTGCCAATGTAGATACTTGAAGAATGAACAGCCAGTTAACTTAATGTGAGTGTGATTTGTTTTGTATGTTTGGAACTTATACTCTGTCTTCCTCTCTTCGGCGTTTGGGGTTTTTACTGTGATACCAGCTACTGAAAGAATCAAATGGGGGTTCAGCAATCTATGCTCTCTCTTTAACACAAAAATTATTTTCAGGGAGTGAGTGGTTTTGTGTATTAAAAAAAAAGTATCTCCTGTGCTTTGACAATATAGGGATGAAAACTGAGATGAACACAAACTCTAGAAACTGTTGTTATTTTAAGCAGGTAACAAAAAGTAATTTCATTACAAAGTCACTGTAGAGCTTAGGCTAGAAGCTCACGTATTTCAAGTCTTCTGAAAAATCTTCATATATGAAAGATTTAGAAGAAAGTGCTTTAGGTCAACATTAAACCTTTGAAATGCAGCTTATGGTAACTATGGGAACTGAATTTCAGGAATAGGTCTCCCTATTAAATAGAGCAACTTTATTTCAGTTCAAACAGATCAATTTTTTCCCTTTTGTCATCGTGTTGAGTACTAGTTTCAAAGTAAATCATCAATCCAGGGTGTTTTCCACAATATCTTTTAAAACCTGGTGTTTGGTGGGATTGATTGTTTTTCTGTGTGCTTATCTCTGGATTTTTAATATTGTCTTTTTTTATTTTTAAATACATTGATCAGGGTTCCAGTATTGTTGTATGAAGTCTAGATTACACCCTTGTTTTCTCTAGTTAGCCTTGCTGCAATTGTTTGCATGTATGTTAGCATTAAACCATGCTGGTTTGTTTCCTGTCCTTTTCTCAATCAAGCACAATTCTCCTTCCCTTCCCTTCACCCTCCTACTGAGGATGTACTGTTTCTGATTGCAGAGAACTCCTTGTATCCCTCCAGACTCCTATGGCAGTTCCTGCATTCCCAAGGCAGTGCACTGTGCCCTTTAGGAACCACTGTCAGAAGCTCACTTTTGTGCTAATTTTTATATGCAGCGAATTGCAGGCTTATGGCATAAGATAAAATGATTCCATCCTGAAGCTGTACTTCCTATGAAGCTCTTGGAACCATTTTGTATCCGTTTCAGACAGATTACCATTTTTTTGCAAAATAGCAACTCCTGGTTATTTTATCAATTAAAAGGAGCTGCCCAACTGCAACATTTTGTAGGAATACATTGGAGATAGCAAAGAGTCCTTGTCACTGGAAATGAATGAATACATTTTACTGTCTGTCATTTGACTTTAAACATAATTGTCTGAATTTTAATTTTTTTAGGATTTCTTGTTTAAGAATCCTTTCTGTTTTTCAGTACTTGTCTCCTTTGAGAACAGACATAGAAGAAAAATGAATGAAGAAATCTAAAATTCTGAGTCTGAAGTATGCCCTGATGCTAGGGGATACTTCAACAGATGAATGCTTAGTAATATTACAAACCTTAGTGGGACTACTCTTTTTTCCTTTCTGGTGAGATTTAAAGAAATGCTTTACCTGAAGAGAACATATGTTCTTAAAATATACCTTTATTCCTAATTTTTGGATTTGTTACCAATTGATGTGTAACCCCATGCATTGGTAATTAGTGCAGTAGTTGAGGAGTTGGACAGATTGTCATAATTCTTGTTAGATGCATTGCCATGCCGTGGTGATGGTTTTATGCTTCTGGAGGATAAGAATGTTTGATTCACTTTCTCATTCAGAAGGGTATTAAATTTAGGTCAGTTGCATTGTGTAGATTAGAGACATGTATGTGAGAAAATGTCTTAACTGGTTACCACTGTTAAGTTTATTTCTTCTGTATGGTCTTCTGTTGATTTTATCTCTCTTTCTAATTTCTTTGGGAACAGAAGGGACAGTAAGGATTGTTGCCGGTAGATACAGTGGCTTATGTTAGGCCTCACCAACATAAACATTCAAAAAGTAAATACAAAAAACTTCTTTAGACAATTCAGACTACTCTGCTTTTTGGAAAAGTTCCTTCTAACTTGGGCCAATTAATGCTTATTTACTCACTAACATACAAAAATATTTTGCAGTATTATTTTTCTGCTGTGTGTTGCTTTCAAATATTATCTTTACCTCCTGCAGTATCACTGTAAAAAGCTGCCATTTTTTTTGTGATCCTGTTTAACCTAAATTATTATTTTTTTTTTTTTATCAAGGTCAGACAAGAGAAGATGGAATGGGTAATACATTGCCATACAATATCGTGTTGCCTAAAAAAAGATTTCTATGTCTGTAGATCTTGTTTAGATCCCATAGCGTTCCCCAAGTGATAAGCTAGAAGAGTACTCTGTACAGTACATAATTTTCAGTAATGACTCCCTCCCATCTGGCAGTGATAAATTTAAATTGTACTTTCATAACCATTTTAAACTTTACATGTTAATTTGTCAAATTAACTTTATATACTTAAAGTACATACCATTGTTGCAAATGTTTCTAGCGAGTATATTTTTTTCCTTCCAAACTTAAATGTACTGTGAATTATTTCTAAGACTCTAGCTACATGTTTCATAGTTCTCATCAAAATTTTCATCAAAGCAAGATATATATTCTTCTTGATCAGCCTTCTGGTGGTGTAGATTGTTAGCTGCTATACCTCCATGTACCTGGGTACATAATAATGATTTTGCAAGGGTGGATGTGGAACTTTTATATCTTCAGGACAGCTTTCATGGTAGACCTGCATTGGATGACTGGCTTTGAGTTTTCATTAGGCATTAATTGTACAGCTAAAAGTTTCAGTGCTCAAAGCAGAGTTCACATTGCAGACATCTTTTCCATCCTGCTGTTCATGAGTGCATACAGCACAATCAGTAGTGAGTGTTTTCATGGTGATAACTGGCTGGAATTAATTTTGTGGCCATCAGTTATTGTGCTTCTTTGGACAGACACATGGAATGAGAAGTCCTGTTGATCCT